TAGAAATCTCGAGCTCATAATCTAATTGTTAAATTGAAAACAATGAGAGAACCAATCAGATTCGCAGATTCACATCAAAACACAACTGAGGGGCTACGAATACATCATAGTTAATTAAAATTTTCCATGCTTTGCTATTAGATAAAATATCCAGGGAGGATAGGGGTGGATGCCATCCTCCACTAACTTTTCTTTCAGAATTTTGAAAAGGAGATTGACGCTTTGATGCTAAAAAATTTCAATGGCTGTTCATTCATGTCCAAGAAATTCTGATGGGTGAACTGTTTCTCCACTACATTTGGCATTGCCATGGCAACCACGTTCTTTCCACTCTAATTAGCCAAATTTTTCGTTTTTTCCAGTTTTTTTTTAACAGTATTGCAGAATTAGTGCCTTTTTATAAATTTACGTCGTTACCTCACTTTCGCAGAAAGTAGTCAAATCCAAGATGGCGAATCCAGACTTAACAACGTCATGTGATGTNCTCCGCACGCGAACAAAACCTTCGAAAGGTAAATCGATTGCCACGCGCCGCATCGCTGTGTGATGAACAACTACTACAACAGCATTGTAAAGAAACAATGTCAGTTTTCGGAGTAAACAATGAAACTGAGGCGCTCCATTTCTATGCGTGATAGTTGACGAGGGCTGTGCCCTCGTCAACTATCACGCGATAGAAATCTCGAGCTCATAATCTAATTGTTAAATTGAAAACAATGAGAGAACCAATCAGATTCGCAGACTCACATCAGAACACAACTGAGGGGCTACAAATACATCATAGTTAATTAAAATTTTCCATGCTTTGCTATTAGATAAAATATCCAGGGAGGATGGGGGTGGATGCCATCCTCCACTAACTTTTCTTTCAGAATTTTGAAAAGGAGATTAACGCTTTGATGCTAAAAAATTTCAATGGCTGTTCATTCATGTCCAAGAAATTCTAATGGGTGAACTGTTTCTCCACTACATTTGGCATTGCCATGGCAACCACGTTTTTCCACTCTGATTAGCCAAATTTTTCGTTTTTTCCAGTTTTTTTTAACAGTATTGCAGAATTAGTGCCTTTTTATAAATTTACGTCGTTACCTCACTTTCGCAGAAAGTAGTCAAATCCAAGATGGCGAATCCAGACTTAACAACGTCATGTGATGTCACAGTAACGGTAAACGTCTCCGGGGTATCTTTTTAAACAGCGTAAGGCCGTGAGTGGAGGAAGAAAAAGAAAAAACCCACCCCTCCCCCGGAAAAACACCGAAGTGCATCATCATGCTTAGAATTTCCATGCAGCATACGATTGTCTGTAGCCACCACTTATGGGTTAAAAACAGAGTAATACCTAGGTGTGATAGGTCAGTTCGACTCAAATTATGCCGAAGACAGGGCGTACGCGTGTGATTAGACACTTTCTTGGTCCATTAGGACCTCATTGCGGTCAGACGTCATCACTT